AACAATGACTTCATTCTTACAACCTTGGGAGCCCGGTGACTACACCGCCTTCAACAAGGAGGCTGGCACATTTTGTGCCAGATTGTTGCATTGTTTCTCAACAACGACTTTACTCTTACAACCTAGGAGCCCGGTGTCTTCACCGGCTGCTCCAAGGAGGCTGGCACATCAGATGCCAGATTGTTGCATTGCTTCTTCACAATACAACCGAAGACCCCAAGCTTCACGTGAAGAATGGGCGATAATTCAATTGCTACGTTTTCTCGATCTGCAATAAAATTATAACACATCGCTGCAATCGCATGAGGTTTTCGCGTAAAACGAACTTCCAACGTTGCTGATAACTCGTACCGTCCATACAAATTAATTCTGGGGAGATCGATTTTCCGCTCAAAATCGTCAGGGAAAAATTCGCCAATTTTCCGTTGATTAATCTGATCGAGGTTATTTGAAAGAATAAAAGTATGGAACTGACAATAATTAGCGAGTGAATACGTACCATCACTGATTTAATGACTTGGGACGTGATGCTACGGTACGAAATGGACCTTCTTCGTAGATTATTCTATTTCCTAACAACGCTATCACATGCCTAGCATATGTACTTATTTTAATCTGTCTGATTAGCCAATCATATTGCTCGATTCTTACTGAAATTTAGTATTATCCCTAACTCTAAATTAACGCCAACCAATGAACCTGTCCCGCGACAATCTGAAAAAAATGATTTAGTCGTGCCGTATTTTTGTCGAGAAAGGAACGGTCGGCGAAGCTTTCCCGTACGGTACGGGTTCTAGGAGGTGTACACCAAAACGAATGAATCCCCGAATGATGGCTACACGAACCAAGCACCGGATCGAATCACTGGCAACTCATACCACGATCGCATCGACCACAAACCGTGGGGCGTGCCGACGGCAACCACCGCCGATCCATTACTCGTATTATTCACGGAGGGGAGAAAACCGGAGGGATCGAGCGGGCCGCATTGCCACCCGGAAAGCCGCAGGGATTTCGAAACGGATACGGACGATCGATCGGCGTTCCGTTCGGGAAAGATACGCACGGAACTTGGTGGCAGCCATGGGGTTCCCCAGCGTCCGGCACATCTTCCTGTCCGTGCTTCTGGCCACTATCGAAGCGGCAGCGGCCACCGAAGCCACCAGAGATGCTCTCGCGACGAACCACCTGCGGCACGGCGATCGATTCCACCGCCGTGCGGAAGAAAACCGCGGCAGCGACCGCAAACACGACCTGGATCGCGAGCCAGAGCGCAAGCACGAGGCCGGCACGGCCGCAGACGAGGCTGTATACACCGACACACACACCGATTGCTCCGCGGCACCGGCGAGGGACGGCATGTCCCCCCGCGGGGTGCGGCGGTCCGCGATCGCGGCGGAATTGTCCCGCCTGGCCTACGAGCTCGGGGAGGACCCCCTCGCCGCCAAAGATTCCGGCCTGGGCTTCGAGACCGCCTACGGGAGCTACCACTCGTCCGGGATCGACGCCGTCTACTCCGCCCGGATCGGGAGCGAGTACTGCGCGGTGGCCTTTCGGGGGACCGACTCGGGCGGGGAGGACTACCGGTCGGACCTTCTGTCGAACCTTTCCGTCGGTCCGGTGGGGTACGGGAACGAGGACTCCCACTCCTGCGAGGTCCATTCCGGCTTTCACGAGGCGTACTACGGGTTCGAGCACCGGTCGGAGGGGGTGGAGGCCTTTCTCGAAACCTGCCTGGAGGGGTGCCCGGGATGCGAGGTTCTCCTGACGGGGCACAGCCAGGGCGGGTCCATTGCGGAGGTTGCGGCGCTGTACTACCTACGGGGGGAGAACAACGCGACCCCAAGAAGCGACAAGCGGAACCCGGCCAAGGTGCACGTGGTTACCTTTGGTGCACCGCAGGCCCTGGGGGCCGGTTGCCTGCCGCTCTTCTCCAGGGAGGAACGCTGCAACTTTCTCCACTACGTCATGACTACCGAGGGATCCCTCGGAAGGGGCCTGGTCTACGACCCGGTGCCGATGCTTTCCCACCGGGCACTGGTGGATCGGGACAACGACGGAACGATGGACGCCTCCTGGGACACCTACGCCCGAAACGGTGGCCTCGCCTTTGTGGGCTTTGAGGTCTTTGTGAGCGCGGAGGATCCCTCGTCGGTTCTTTTCGGGGCCCTCGATGCCCACTACCCGGCTCCCACCGGCGCCCTGGACTGGTCGATCGACTCCCACAACAAGGCCCTGTACGCGGGGGTCCTGGCCGAGCAGGCCGGCCTCTACCCCCCCGGGGACCTCGGGCACGTGGTGTGCCACCTGCCCACGGACGGCCTTGCGGCCGGGGCCCCCTGCAACCCGGCCGAGTCCGGCGTTCCCTGCGGGACGGGGGAGTGCGCGGCCGGGGGAAGCGGGGGGTGGTGGAACCGCTGGTGGCCCACCGGGCACACCTGCGCTGGCGGGGCCGGTGCCGCGGACCGGTTCTGCCACGAGCGGCCGCCCGAGTGGACCTTTGTGGGCCGAGGGGAAAAGGGGCGGGACCAGCACCAATAGCAGCAGCAGCAGCAGCAGCAGTAGCAGCACCAATAGCTATCAAACTATCCAAAACGACGGAAACCACTGCGGCCCAACAGCGACGCGGACGAGTCCGTCGCAACCGGCCATGAAACAGACAGTCCAGTGCAAAAAAATGTGCCAATGGACCATATGGAAGACGCGATCGGAAACAAGGCGATCCATCGTCGCAAACTGTCCGTTACAGCTAGGGTAGTACGTGCTAGAAGGATGTAGCGCTATAAACTATAAATAGATAGAATACGATCATTGCGCTGGTGGTGTCTCGTTCGCGCTTCCATCGTGCCGCATCGATGGTTCCGTTCCAGTGTGTCTCCGATGCGTTGCAGGCTTCGGACACGGATTGTGTGCGATTTGGTCTGGATTTCGGGGGACTGCTTCAAGTGGAAGTCGAATTGTCGTCATCCAGTGGCATAAAATGTATTTTGTGGAAGAAACTGTAATGTTTCAGATGAAAAAACTTCATACCGGATTTATTGGGTCATTCCCGATACTCTAAATCTCTAAATTTTTGGTACGTCCGTCCATCAGAATTTCGAGTTTTTGACTCTAGATTTAGAGTTTTTAGAACCGGTGGCTTGACCGGTTCTAAAAACTCTAAATCTAGAGTGGAACCCACGAATAGAAATAATCCAGTCGTCCGTTCAAGGAGTCTCAAAAGACTCAACAGAAAGGCCCGCCAAAATAAGACTGATTTAAGTATCCGTTGTCCTAAACAACAAGAATAACCACAAAAGAGGCGCCTCGTCTGTCTCTAGACCATGGCGCCTCCTCTGTTAACAAACAAGAAGAATGGCACAACATCCCCTGAGTGGAAGAGATGGAGGAAGGGGGAATGAGCATATCTCCTGATTGCAATTCGTGGTGTTCTCCTGTCTCTCTTACGACGCTCCTCGGGAGAGAGCTTTTGCCTGTAACTTTGGTTATTCAGATGAATGTACCAGTACATCGTGATCACTTCCACTACTCCCATTGTCAATGTTGTTCGATCGATGTTGCCTTTTGTTTTGCTGGGAGGAAACTGTTGTCTTTTAGTGTGTTTGGCTAGTAATTAGCGTAGAACATGAATTCATTTCCTGGTATCGAATCGGAAATAACAAGCAGAAAATGAGTTCGTGTTTTACTCTACTTGAGTATCGAAAATGCAAGGGATACACTATATTTTTTGATACGGAGATTTTAGTATCAAACATAGGCAGTAAATCCCTTTCATGTTTTTCTTTGTACCGAATGGCGCGCGTTCTGAGTCTTTACGTTGAAAATTAATTAAGATTCCAAATTCCTATAAAGACTGGCACCGAGCCGGCAATTCTCAGACTGTCCGTTGAATGTCTTGATTCCCGTTATTCTAGATCCCTAGATTTAGAGTTTTAGAGATTTAGAGTATCGGGAATGACCCATTGTTTCTACGCCTACCGATAGACCCCCTCAGACTTCCTTTTCCATCGACAATTTAAGTCGAAAAAACTATTCTAGTATTTTTCTTTTCGACTTCGATGATTACTGTACTTGAAACTCCATCGAAATAACTTTAATTATGGTTTAACTTGAATTACGGTAGACTTACTGCCTTGAACACTGAGAACTCCTGAAGACAAACGGATCGGTCCGTACAACTAGTTGGCAGCCAATGTTCTAGTACGACGATGAAGAGTACCAACTCACCTCTCACCAGTGCAATAGAATAGAACAGAACAGAATAAAGCCCAACGACGCAAATCCGCAAACGACGAGGACATCAGCGGCCGCTATGAACGATCCGAGCAAAAGCAGCACCGGAAACAACCACGACCGAAACCACCCCGGCGTGGTCCGGGTGGAGGCCACCGCTCCGATCAAGAGCTCCCCGCTTTCCACCGGTGGCATCGCCCTCGCCATAGGAACCTTCTTGGCCCTCCACACTCCTTCCTGGCTGGTCCTCGTCTTTTGTTTCGAGACGGACGAACACAAAGATCACCATGACTCGCTCCCGATCCGCCTCTTGTCCCGGTGGCTTCTGGATTTTACTCCGTGGCTGGCCAACGCCCTGCTGTCGTTCTTTCTGGGGGTCCTCTGCCTGTGCCTGGGCGCGGCCTTTCTCTCGAGGACGGAGCGCTGGGGCGCGGTCCACGGTGTGCGAACCGAGCCATTTTGAAAGCAAACCACAAACCCAGGGAGGGACCAAAGGGCGATTGCGGTTGCTGCTGTTTCAAGAATATCCAAGACCAGCCGTTCTTCGAACGGGCGCTCCATTGGGAGACCAATCGGCGGGGACCACTCGATGGCGACGGGTTCGTTCGCCCGGAGCACACCGTGTTTGTTTTATTTGTTCAAAACACGAACGGCCGAAGGAACCGAATCGAACCGCACCCCCTGGAACGCCCCGGGGTTCGAAGCTGCGGTTTCCGACCGCCTTGTTCCAATGTAGGCGCCCCACTGAAAAAAAACATTCCTTTACACAAAAAGAGTCGCAAGACTTGCGAACAGCCAGAGTAAATGCAATCTTGAAAGTAACAATAGCACGGTATGAGCCATTCCTTGTTTCAATAAAATAATGCATTTGCGCTAGACAAAATTTTCTCACAAGATGGTGCCTAAGCACACGAGCGAGGCATGCAGCCAACCAAGTAAAATCTTGAAGTAACAATAATATTAGCTATTAGCATGTGTTTGTCATGCTCTGTGAGTTTGAAAGAAGGTTTGAATAAATGAGAAAAGACAGATTCGGCTTCGGGGGAAGCCGCGTGGTTCGATGTGCGTCGGTTCTTCTGTTTTGGTTAATTTCTACGCTTCAGGCCAAAATGAATTGCATTTCATTTGTTCCGTAATTTTTGAAGAAACGAACCTTCCAACAACTGGACCGGACGAAACATCTCTTTTTCTTTTCCGGAAAATCTGGACGATGTGTTGGTTTCATATTGATCCGACTCCACGCTTTCGCTTCTACTTGCCAACTCGAACAAAACTTGCAAGTTTCGTTTCGTTTCGTCTTGTTTTGATCCTCTCTCATTCCTTTGCAATGGTGTGGTTCAAAATGGATTCGGTGCTGATAATGTCGCCCACCAATCCCTCGCCGTTCAAATCCTCGATCGTGGACAGGTTGCTCGAAGGATTCTTGTCGCGGATGTCCACCGTTTCGTCCTCGTCGCCGGCCCCGATCTTCACGGAGAGCACGCCCCCGCGTGAGCCGGAAGACGCCGGCGGCGTCCGTTGCGCCGTGCTAGTAGACGACTGCTTGCGGCGATCGACAAAAAAGGACGAAACGGGGCGGTTCTTGAGCCTGGCTTCCAGGGCCTCGTCCGATCGGGGTGCCGGTTCCATCGCGTTGTTATTGAAGAGCTCGTTCGCCCGCTTGTTCAGCCGAGCGAGGGCTTCGAGGTTGCAGATCCGGGCCTCGAGCTCGGCCAGCGAGTGATAGAGAGGAGCGTACAGAGGATTGGCCTCTATCCCCTCCTCGTAGACCGACCGGGCATCGTCGATGTTGTTCTTTCCGACGAGGCGATCTCCGAGTTTCCTGTAGAGGGCACCGTTGTCGGGATCGCATTCGATGCCCCTGCGCAGTAGCAGATCGGCCAGGCCCTCGTTCCCGTCCTCTTCCTCGACCTCGGCAGCGATGATCCAACCCCGCCCGTTGCGCTTGTTTCTCGTCAGGGCGTCCGATATGAGTTTGCGAGCCTTTTCGTAGTTTCCCTCCCGCATTTCGAGGGTTGCCCAGCCCTGGTAGAGGGCGTCGTGACGGCTCTTGGCTTTTTGCAATCCCCCCGTGAATAAGGTCCGTGCGTTGGAGATGTTGTCCCGCCGCATCTCGAGCAGGGCATAGCCGTGCCAGAGAGAACCGTGCCAGGGGGCCTTTTTGATGCCCTTTTGGAAGAGGGAAGACGCCTGGTCAAAGTTACCGGCCTTCGTTTCCATAATGCCCCATGCCTGCCAGGCCTGTGCATGCTTCTCGTCGGCAAGGACGCTTCGGCCAAACAAATCCCGAGCCGCTTCGAATTTTCCCAGGCGCATTTCACTGAGGGCGGCACCCAAAAGGAGCTGCGAGGAATTCCCGCAACGTTCCAATCCCTCTTCGAATATTGTCAGGGCAGAAGCCGGATTGTTGGCGTTCAGCTCTAGCATTCCTAGGGTGTGCGACAAAAAGGCGGCCCGATCACGGTTCGGGTTGTCCGATGAAATTGAATCCTGCAGCCGGCGGACCTCTTCGAGGCCTTCGTACAGAATGGTTCGCGCCCTCCCGACATTCCCGCAGGATATTTCCAGCATTCCGTACCCGTGATAAATCGAAGCAGCATCGGAACAGTTTGCCTGGGTTCCGCGATCAAAAATGCTGCGTGCCTCCTCGAGATTTCCCCTTCGGGCTTCAGCATTTCCGTAGGCGTTGTAGGCTGGGCCGTTTCGGGGATCTAATAACAGCGCCTCTTCAAAGAGTCCACGGATCAGGGTAAAGTTCGCCATTTTCAGGACGTGCTTCTTGTCGATGGTGGTTTCCGTAGAGGTAGTTGTGGGGTATTGTGGATGTTTGAGCTCCAGCAGGGCAAATGCTACGAGGGTTGGTGCCGAAGGTTCCAGACGCAGGCTCTCCATGTACATGTCTCGGGCCCGTGTGTAGTTTCCAAGGCGCTCCTCGACTTTTCCAGCCGCGGTGAAGAGGTTGTGATCAAATGGGTATAGATCCATACCCTTCCGTAGAACTTCCTGAGCCTCCTTGAACCGTCGCCGCTTCACTTCCAAGGTCGCAAGTGCATTGAATACCCTTCCGTCCTCGTTGGCTGCGATCTTTCCGTCGTGTTGCGGATTGTGTTTGGCATTCTTTTGCTGACGCTTCTTCGACTCCGTTCCACGCTGGTGAAGTTCGTCGCAAATCGTTGCCAATCGCTTCGCGGTAGCGATATTGGCTTCCTCTGTGCTGTTGTGTCGGCGAACCCTTGATCTTTGCTTGGTCCCCCGTGGAGAAGACGATGACGGGGTCTGCCCTTCTAGGGACAAATCTCCAGCCTGTATTCGTCCTTCCAGCCGCGCCAGTGCCACATTGGCCAGGCTCGAGGTCGGAGAAATAGCCAGGGCCTTTCGCAACAAGTCTTGTGCACTTCGGAGTTCCGAAAAATGCCGTTCTTCAAGCCATGCTGCAGCAAGGTATACTTCCACCCTATCTTTTTCGGTTGGCAGGTGACGACGCCTCCGCTTCCGATCCATGGAACCACCGACCGCAGATGACGAGTAGTTCTCGACAGCATCGATGTGGTGCTTGTAGAGGTCCCTCGCCTCTGTCAAATTTCCGGCCGAAATGTAGATTTCGCCCAGGGTACACACAAGGGCGGCCGTAACCTTGGCACTAGGAGCCTCTAATACATGCTTCAGGAGCGAAATAGCGGCACCGTCGCGGCCCAGCTGCCGCTCCATCAAGCTGTAGGCGTGAGCAACAAAGGGATTGTAGGAATCAATTTCGATGCACTCCTCGAAGAGTTCTCGCGCCCTGATCAGATCACCGCGGGTTTGATGCTCGTATATGGCCCAGGCCTGAAGCAAAAAGATGTTCCTGGGGCAGGCCTGGGTCCCCCTGGCAAAGGCCTCTTGGGCCTTGGTCTGTGTGACACCAGCGATTTCGGCTTTCCCACCTTCCCTCCGCGACAACAACCGGGCGAGAGCGAGGTGGGAGTGGGAGTCTTTGGGATTGTTTTGGAGGATTTGTTCCAAGAGATTTTGTGCTTCTCCCCACCGTCCCTGCCGTTCCATGTTCTTTGCGGTTTGGAACATGATCCGTATCGAGTTGCGGTTATCATGATTCTTTTCACTGTTTCGTCTGTTGTTTTGTCTTCGGTTGTGATGATATTTGTTGGTCGTAGCATGGGAATTTTTTAGGGATGGTCGGAACATTGTAGTAGCAGTTGTTGTTGATGATGATGATGTAGAGTTACTGTTCGCCGTCGAGGGAGATGGGTGCCGTATGTGAGAGGAACGCTTCCTATTGTTGACGTAAGCTTTCTTTTGTTTTTGTCCCGGGGTAGAAGATTGTTGCTCGGGAGACGAAGTGCTGAAACATATATTCTTCTTTTGTCGAAAAATCTCACATGGTGTCGTGCGGCTGCTAAACCTATCAAGCGACACAAATGCGTCCACCAATGGAACAAACCGAGCCATAGAGAGCAAAAATACGAGACAGAATCCCCGCCTCGACAATATATTGGTTGCATTCATATCATTCCTTATTATTGTTGTTCGCGACCGCCTTTTCCTTCCAATCTTCCCACCATCATATCCAGGGCATTCGATTTGCAGCCGTATCCGCTCGCTGTTGTTGTGTTCCATCCTCGTTTTGTTTCGATTCGATTCGGTCTATTGAAAAACTATGAAATATTTTAAATCCCTTAGTCGACAATGCGTCGCGATTACCGGTAGGGGGGAGAGAATTTCCACAGATACGCAATCCAAAGATACAATCCGTGTTTCTTCCTTCCCGTTCTGATCTTTTCCTCCACTCTCGACTCTCTCTCTCTCTCTGTTCCCGTCCCGCAAAACCGACTCTTTGCTCCTGAATCTCAGATGAAATCTTCCTCTGAGTCTAACTTAGTATATATTCTTGGACGAAACTTTCATGCATCGAAATATGCGTGTATTTGCACACTCACGAGCTGAGTGGATGCCCTCTGTTGCATACGGTAAGCTCTACCTGTGTTACGGTTGGGCACTCGAGAGCTTTTTTGAGCTTCAGCAACGGCGTTGGCTCGTCTTTTCTTCGAAAGTGATGGGAAAGAAGCAAAGCTCTGGTGATTTTCTGTCTGTCTATGGAAGGGACGTAGGCGCACACAGAAACGTCACCCTGTTTCCTCGATACGAGACGGACAGACAGATAGCAAACACACGTGTAGACGTGTGCCTTTCGTAGTTTTGCTGCATGCTCTGCTTGCAGCGGAGAAAAATTGAATTAAAATTCCCGCCGTACGTTTGTGCTCGTACGAAAAGTACTACCGTACGTATTTCGAAAAGTGGCGCTTTGATTGATAACGAAAGGTCAAGTGATAACAATCACGACGTCATCCTAGATTTTTGTTCGTCGCATAAAAACATCTCGAACCCTAATCTATTACCTTTACCGTATGGTACTTAAGGGGGAAAGGAAGAAAGATTTTCGGATTTAGATTTTTTTTAAATATTGCGAAATAAAATATTTTTAAATTTCAGCTCAAAATCATGTATCGAACAAAAACTCATTCGAACCATCAACAGCCACATTATCCGACATGTATCGTGCTGACAGTGCGTACACCGACCGCACTCGTACACACGACCGAATCATAACGGTTGGAAAGTCCTCTAAAAGTTTAATTTGACGAATTGGGATGATGAAAGATCAAAGACGACAGCAACACAAGTAGAACGGCTGAGGATTGCGTCCACCAAGAACTATGATTCGCATAAATCAATCACCAGCGCCGAGAAGAAACTTCGCGACCACAAAGAAGGAGACGCTATGTGTTACGAATCGATGGCAGCACTGTTTTCCAAACGCTTCTCGGTGATGTTTGTCGAATAGGAAGGGTGGTATTTGGCGCCGGATATCATATCAGGTGCTCTTTTGTACAAAAACACTTCAGACGAAAATCATGGCGAAGATGGTCGCAAAAGAATAGGAAAAACTTGATGTTAGACCATTGGATTCAATCATAAATCAGCCCATCATTCGAGATACTGTACTATTGAGAGACAGTGAATCGAAAAGAAGTTAAGTGACAGAGGTATTACAATTTGATCTCTTACACTTCCTGTTTTTGGTCTACTCATGAAAGAGCTATTGTGATTATATACTATGCTGAAGAAAGAAAATCATCAACTTGACACCATACACTGATATGATTGAAATAAAATATTGATATTTTAATGTTATTGAAATGTAATTGAGAGCTGTTGCGCGTTGCAAAGTGCATGGACAGCATTAGAACCGGAGAAGTTTATATACGAGTTCAAGCCTCAACGATGGCTGGGGCCTCCATTGCGACAGGGAGAATCTCGCCAGAAGCCAAATCAAGAGGAAAGTTATGAGCATTACGTTCGTGCATGACCTCCATTCCAAGATCGGCACGGTTGATTATGTCGGCCCAGGTGTTGATGACACGTCCCTCGGAGTCGATGACAGCCTGGTTGAAGTTGAATCCGTTGAGGTTGAAGGCCATGGTGGAGACACCCATGGCGGTGCACCAGATACCCAATACAGGCCAGAGAGCTAAGAAGAAGTGAAGAGCACGCGAGTTGTTGAACGACGCGTATTGGAAGATGAGACGTCCAAAGTACCCGTGAGCGGCGACAATGTTGTAGGTTTCCTCTTCCTGGCCAAACTTGTATCCGTTATTGGTGGATTCGTTTTCGGTGGTTTCACGGATCAAAGAGGAAGTAACAAGAGACCCGTGCATGGCGGAGAACAAAGATCCTCCGAAGACACCTGCAACTCCGGCCATATGAAGCGGGTGCATAAGGATGTTGTGCTCGGCCTGGAAGACCAACATGAAGTTGAAGGTTCCGCTGATACCAAGAGGCATGCCATCTGAGAAACTTCCTTGCCCAATGGGGTAGGTGAGGAAGACAGCGGTGGCGGCTGCAACAGGTGCGGAGAATGCAACAAAAATCCAAGGACGCATTCCGAGGCGATACGAAAGTTCCCACTCACGGCCCATGTACGAAGCAACTCCGAGAAGGAAGTGCATCACAACCAATTGGTAGGGTCCTCCGTTGTACAACCATTCGTCCATGGAGGCAGCTTCCCAAACGGGGTAGAAGTGCATCCCGATTGCGTTGKAAGAAGGGATGACAGACCCGGTGATGATGTTATTACCGTAAAGAAGAGATCCGGCAACAGGTTCGCGGATTCCGTCAATGTCCACAGGAGGTGCGGCAATAAATGCAGTAATGAAGCATGATGCTGCGGCAAGAAGAGTTGGGAACATGATAGTACCGAACCAACCGATGTAAAGGCGGTTGTCGGTGCTTGTGATCCAGTTGGAGAATTTTTCCCACGTGGCAATGTCGCCTTTCTTCTCTAAGTCGAGGGGAGTAAGGGAGGCAGCACTCAACTGAGTGTCAAATGATGAGGTAGCGACATCATCAACAAACTTTGTGGGAGTGAACTTGGCAGAACCATTGGTGCGTCCGAAAGTGGGGGATTGCTTTGGGACAGTAAATGCTTCGGTGGTCGATGCAAGCAGGGCAACGACGAGGGAAAAAGAATACTTCATGATGAAACTGTTTTGTTTTTTGCTTTCTTCAGTTTGGAACTTCCACTTTTCAAGATTGTGAGCTGTTCGAGTGATGAGGGATCTACCAACTGAAATCTCGAACGATCACATCATCGCAGTTTTTCGTACTTTCACGGTACAATAGTATGGTTTTTGCACACACATTTACTAGTCGATGAGTTGCTTCTCCTTTGACGTGTTGCGTCGATAAGTCAGATTTCTGACAACAAAATTCGAAGTTTTCGAGAGAAATAATCTGTGTCAGGAGTCCTGACGAAAAGATTCATCGAATCATCACTTCTGTACTTTTACAGGAGGCTTTGGCGAGATTAATACACTTTCGGACGCAGAATTGAATGAACTCATCAAAATAAAGTTTTGCAGCTGTTTTTACGTCACAAACGGGCAACATCACCCAATCAACTTTCGAATCGTAATCGTAGGCATGGATCCAATAGGATCTTCGTTATCATCCATGATTCATTCTACGACCTTCTGTGATGCTGATAGGATTTTGTTGTTTCTAAAAATAGAATTCGGCAGTTTCAGAGAGAAGTCACACGTCGATTGTTGTTGCCGAAAGAACAAAATCATCATCGGAGTCAGTTCACACTTTCTTCTCTCAAAAACGGATGATCTATCCTTTTTTTTAAGAAAGTCTTTGACTCAAACGAATCAAAGATTTTCAAACGAGACTCCACAGAAACACTTAAGGGAGAGCCCAGACGTTTCGTTCGACAATAATTCGGTTTTTTTAATTAGGTCTTTTGCGGTACGCTGCAAGTGGAAGTCGAACCAGACCTTTATTGTACTGCACTTTGTACGTATTGTAATGGTGTGTATGTATTTTCCATATGTATGTATAGTACCTATTGGTCTGCTTCGGCAGCAGTGGAAGTTGAAGGCACTTTCTTTAGGAATCAGTGTTTGATAATAACCTGAACCCTAAGATATATATTTTGTACTTATTTTCATCCGTAGAGGTTTTTGATTCTATTTCGATCTGATAACATCATGATGATACCAGTATTTTCTGTAGATTCTTGTTTGAGGTACGAAGCATTCTAAGCACAACTTTCCTTGTTGATTGGTGAGTGTTGATCAGTGAGTGTTGATCGGTTAGTGTTGGTCGGTTAGTGTTGATTGGTGAGTGTTGATTGGTGAGTGTTGATTGGTGAGTGTTGATCGGTGAGTGTTGATCGGTTAGTGTTGATTGGTTAGTGTTGATCAGTTAGTGTTGATCGGATAGTGTTGATCAGTTAGTGTTAACCAGTGAGTGTTAACTGGTGAGTGTTAATCAGTGAGTGTCGATCACTGAGTGTCGATCACTGAGTGTCGATCACTGAGTGTCAATCACTGAGTGTCGATCACTGAGTGTCAATCACTGAGTGTCAATCGCTACTGAGTGTTGATTGGCGAGTGCTGTATATGATCAGTGAGTGTGTAGTATGATTTTTGGTGAGTGTTAATTGGTGAGTGTGTATGATTGGTGAGTGTTGATCAGTTAGTATTGATCGGTTAGTAATGATTGGTGAGTGTTGATTGGTGAGTGTGGATTGGTGAGTGTTGATTGGTGAGTGTTGATCCCTGAGTATTGATCGCTGAGTGTTGATCCCTGAGTTTTGATCAGTGAGTGTTGATTGGTGAGTGTGTACAATCAGTGAGTGTGTATCAGTGAGTGTGTATCAGTGAGTGTGTGTCAGTGAGTGTGTGTCAGTGAGTGTTCCTCTATGAGTGTGGATTGGTGAGTGTGAATGATCGGTGACTGTGTATCAGTGAGTGTTTATTGGTGAGGTGCTTGTTTATCACTGAGTGTTTATCAGTGAGTGTGTAGTATTTGTGAGTGTTTATTAGTGAGTTTTTATCAGTGACATGCTTGTTTATCAGTGTGGTGCTTGTGTATTGGTGCCTTGTTTATTGGTTGGTGTATTGGTTGGTGTAGTTGCACTGATCTACTGTTGCCACAGTACTGAAGCTGCAGTAATCCTGTTGAGATCATTACATTTGGCCAGCTGCCTGCCTCTTTAGAATGCATCAATTCTTTGGAGGTGCTTGCCCCCAAGTTATGCTTCTGATCTACTGTTGCTACAGTACAGAAGCAGCACTACAGCTTGTACTATCTACACCTAGCACTTTGTGAAAAATAGTATTAGTACTAATCATACTACTASTAGTACATATATATTGAGCTAATATAGATTAAAGTACAACTTTGTGAAAAATAGAAATAGTATGAGAAGATGAAGTAGTAGAAGTAAAGCAGTAGTACATCTGGTACTTAAATTACAACAAGTACTAGTACTATACAACTGAATCTAGAGTTATATCTACTAGAGTTATGTCTACTAGAGGTAGGTTCTAGCAGAGCTATAATAATAAAGCTAGAGCCAAAGTTGGAGCCAAAGCTCAAGCTAAAGCCTGAGCCAAAGCTCATCAGTATCAGCCAGTATCACTATCAGTAGTATTACCAATATGAAAAACAGTATAATTAGTACTACTATAGTAGTACTATTACTATATGAAAAACAGAAATAGTAGCAGAAAATGTAATAATAGTAGTTGTTGTAATTTCAGTACTAGATCTACTACTGCTAAACTACTAGTATTTCATTTTCTCACACTATTGCAATTTTGCATACAGTTGTAGTATTACTTCTATACTAC